ATGGTTTTTGAGGAAAAAGAAAAAGCTAAAGGAAAGTGGTAGAAAACCGGGAGAAGTGAGCGTTAATGGCAGGTAGGATGGTGCAAAGGGAGATGAAGCGTGCTAGTGGAGGAACTTTCGTGGATGAGTCGTGCTTTGCAAAAATTTCCCTCAACGGCTGGACGGGTCCTCATTTGAACGCTACTGGCAACGCTTCCAGTCTCGTACCGTGCCTTCAAGAAAATCAGAGCGGTAATATCGTGAGAGTGATTTGTTTTGTTACAAAGTAATTATTTGTGGTTCACACATATACTTCACCGAATAACAAGATGGAACAACAGGTGGATCGTTTGTGATTGGAAAGTAAGTAGCGGTAATGAGTAACAAATGGATGGGAGAAAAACACTTCGAAAATGCAAGCAGTTACTATCAATATCTGGAATCTACGTGGAGCAGTGGGTGGTTAATAGCGTCGGCTGAAAGCAAGTCTAATCGGCTAAAGAACATGTGGTGGGAATTGCTTAATTACTGAGTAGATGCGGAAATACCGATACGCTTAGGCATCCAGTAATGGCACCAATATCTAGTAAATAAGTAGGATAAATATAGCCTACTAAATGGCCTGCCGTTCCAAAGTAACTGATACTGCAGTGTTCCAGTCCCATCCTAAAAAGCTTGTGAGAGCGAGCCGATCGAACTGAGGGATACGACAAGATTTATAGCTTAGAATGCCAGGTGGTTTGAACCAGATAGAGTGAACGCGTAACATAAACGCCCGATCTCTGGTCTACACAGGAAGCTTTGAGTTCCATTGCCTTAATGAGGGCTTAACAAAATCCATGAGTTCGCTAGTAGTTGAACCCTCCTAAATAGGATAGGGGACAACGTGCCAATCGTCTACATTACCGGCAGGACATCCCGCCGCCGGGGAAATTCCCGGAACATACGATCCCTCACCAATTTTGTCCTCTGCTACGAACCCCTTCCCACTTTCTCCAGCCTCCCACCACATATTCCGGAATCGTCAAGTGGGGAGGGGTGGACGTCGTCATCAGCCAACTACTAGCTTCAACTATTGAACCGGGGGAGGGTATATGAACCGAACAACTTCTTTAGTAGAGCGTCAAATTTCCTTCACAGGCAAATACGACCCCTCCGTCCCAACGACGACCGAAGACAACCTCCCCTCCCCCAACGGAGAGCAAATACAACACCCCTCCCCCCATGAAATTTTCCAACGATGTGAATAGCGCCCGTGAAGCAGGAAAAACCAACTCCTCAAAAACTTTTTCCTCAAACCAAATACGACCTCCTCCGTCTAGCGGGCGAATACGACCCGCTCTCACCCCTCTGGGGATTCCCTAATGTAGGACGTGCCCTGCTCACTGGTTCTCCAAGACAGGGCTAAGAAATGCGGGGGGCACCTAATGGTACGCAGCGAGCTTGTGCAGGTAAACTTCTGGGGACGAACAAACAAGCTCCCACTTGGAACTCTGAAGGGCATGGCGCAATGTCGTACCAGTAATTGTATAGTTATTGGAAGTATTACGCACATTAGTGTAGCAGCTACAGGCCTTTTTCACTGCGATAATGGGGCGTGTCAGGGGGATGGGTTTGGCGCGGAGCCAAACCAGCTTCGAAGAGCAGCGGACCTCGAGAATACGTGAATTTATGGCTATGAAGATGAAGAAGTTGAAGAAGGTAATGCAGATGGTTTTGGAGAAAAATAGTTTGCTGCATGAAACCCGGAACTAAAATTAAGCAATGACGCTGAGGCAATGACGCAAAGAAGCTGTAGAACAAGATAAATCAACGTTCTCAATAGTGTGACGTATTCATGGAATAAACACATTTACGTCGAATAGCTAGGAGTATTTTGGGCATGAAATAGGAAATAAACGGTGGAATGCCTGGATAATATCTATAAAAAAACGAGACTGGGCCAATTAGATGCTTCTACCCGTTGCAGGTTCAAATTGCACTCCCCTCCCGGGGCATAAGCCGCATTTACTTATAGGACCTCATGTACCTTTGGCGAAGCGCGCGAACACAAGCAAGACCAACCATTTTTACTCAAAGCCCACATAAAAAAGTTGTGTAGTTCTTGAAGAACATTTGTTGCGCAGAACGGGACAGGGCGGACTAACACACGAGCGGCTTAACCCCCGGGAAATATTGCATTAGCTCCGTGCGTACGCTGGGCTGCAAGGTAGTGGGGAAAAACTTCTAAACGGTCGTCAAAGCCCAGAGCATTATCCTGGGCTAAGTAAATATAAGAGGCTCCTGCGAAGGAGTATAACAGCTCAGTGACTCGTGGTGTATATGCTGATTGCCAAGCAGCTTTCAAAAATCCGCTCCCGTAAGCTTAGAGAAAGATTATGTATCGAAAAGCAAATAACCAGAAGCTTTAGCTGACATGAGCAACATCTTACAGGTGCAATTGACATAGAGGTGTCATACGACGATGGTGAAGAGGTCCGACGCGCGCCCGTCCTTGAGTGTTTATCGATGTTCTTGATAGTGAGATCGGAGTCGGATCAGAGTCAAGGGAGATCGCCAGGGCAAGACAAAAGCTCCACCCACGGCCGCTGATCGGACAAAACCAGCTCTTGGCACTGCATAGCGATCCTGGCACAGTTCTACCGCTGAAGAACGTTTTGCAATATACGACGCACCATGAAATTTTCTCTTCTTGCACGACTCCGCCCATCCCCCTATTTACCATTTCCCCAGATTCTCCCAACCGTCTCACATTTTCGGTGCTTTTTTTAACATTTTCTCAACTTTCCCCTTCCCTCTAAAAAAACTCCCGTTTGAAGTGAAGGTGGGATGCGCATAGCGTGCTTGAAACAGACTTAAAAGAGGAAAA